CCAGACCTGGTAGGGCGTGGTCAGGGTGATGTAGAGTAAGAGGCAGTCAGGTGGCTGGGCACTCTCAGTTTCCTTTTCAGCTTGCTGTACAGACTGCTGCCTCGCCAGCTGGCTAGGTCGCTCTGTAAGTAAGGCTTTTCCCTATTAAATGCCCTTATATTTCTACTTGGTTCCATATTGGTATTTTCCCACTTTGTTTTGTTATCTTAGTGTCTTTAAAATTATTTCTATTTAAAGTTGCTTAAGCAGCATGTTATCTTGGTTTGTTTTATTCTCCCAATTTCTACTCTCTCAAATTCATTATGTACTTCTTGGGGAAAGGGAATTTTTAAAAGAAATCATAACTTTAGTCAAAGTCAAATGAAATGTCTAGCTTATTGAAGTATTAAATATAAGCTAATTGACAAGGTAATTACAATCTGTTCAAAATGATTAGTTTCCAAGAAAAATATTCACTTCAATAGAGAAGTGATATGTCCCAAATTATACAGAGTACATTTAAATTTTTCTTTGTGTTCTTACACTAGGAATTCATGACTCACACAATGGTCCTAATAATAATATACATGGTTGTTGAGTTATTTAAATGTCTAGTTATTTAAATGTATTGCATTATATTTTACATACAATAACTTTATGAACAAAGATTTCTTTCTTATCAGAGAGAGTTGAAACAAAAGTCAAAGGAGCTGAGCAACAAGTTATTGTGGAATATTAGTTGAAGATGTGTTGCATTCATTTATTCTGTGAAATATTTGTTTAATGGCAAAAAGATGTATTGTATCCTTTTATGTTGCACTTGTTTAACTCTGTGAAGCTGTGTTACTTTGCCTGCCTAAAATACCTGATAGGTTTGATAAAGAACTAAACAGCCAATGGCTAGCCATGAGAAAGGATAGGTGGTTGACATGCAGAGAGAATAGACAGGAGGAGAAATCTAGGCTTGAATGAGAAGAAGGAGGAGCAAGAAAAAGAGAAGGAGAGGAGGATGTCAGGGGCTAGCCACCCAGTCACACAACCAGCCATGGAGTAAGAAGGGTAGACAGATATATAGAATAAAGAAAAGTAAAAAGCTGAGAGGCAAAACATAATTAAAGGTAGACAGGATAATTTAAGTTAGAAAATCTGGCTAGAAACAAGCCAAACTAGGCTTGGCATTCATAAGTAAGAATAAGTCTTTGTGTATTTACTTGGGAGCTGGGTGGTGGGCCCCAAAGAGTTAAAAAAATCAACTACAAGTGAAGATGAATTTGCAAATTGAATTGGGTGAACCTCATGCAAAGTCTGATTTCATTTCTTAATAGAAAAGTTTATAAAGATCTGCTTTAGCATAAATTGAGAACTCATTCATTTTTTTCTCTACTTGATTGATTTGCTTGGAAATCTTTTGCAAAGGCTGGCAAGATGGCTCAGCAGGCAGAGGCAATTGTATGCAGGTGCAATGATCTGAGTTCCATCCTGGGTACCACTAGGTGGCAAGAGAGAACTGAGTCCCAAGAGAGTTGTCCTCTGGCCTCCATATGTGGTCTGTGGCAGCCAAGTAACACATGTACAGATAAACAACCAAACAAACTTTTGCAGGTTTCCTCAGCTTGTATTTCATAGATCAACACTATTCTTATTTAATAATAGCCCAAATCATTCTTTCTAAAAGTGTAAAGCTGTAAGTTGATATATAGCAAATACTTAGTAAATGATAGCTTGGATACATGTTAATTAAAGTAAACTAGTAATTGTTCACCTTCATTATTCCTAATTAGTATGTACATACTTGGACATAGTGATTAATACACATCAGTAAAATAACCTTGCTAATTATAATATTTCAATCAGTTACAATAGAAATTTTATTTCCAACATGGTGGAAAAAATCTTGGAGATTTTGTAATAAAATATAGTTTAATAAGCTTAAAATTTGAGGTGGGGAAAATTATGTAAGCTTGAATTTCTTTATCAAATTTACACTTTTCTCCTTTTCCCTATTATCCCTACAAATGTTCTAATTATCTATCTATCTATCTATCTATCTATCTATCTATCTATCTATCTATCTATCTATCTATCTACAGGGTTTTCTCTGTAACAGCCCTGGCTGCCCTATGACTGACTTTGTAGACCAAGCCATCCTCAAACTCACAGAGATCTGCCTTCCTCTGCCTCCTGAGTACTGGGATCAAAGGCATGTGCCACCATGCCCAGTTCTCCAATCTTTATTTTTCAAAGACTCTGTCAGTTCCTGTGTGAAGGGCCCTGTCACCTCTGGATCGTCTCTCACTCTCACTATCTTTCCCTTTTTGTGATGACTCCTGAGTCATGGTGTGAGGAAAAGCTATGATATAGATGTCTTATTTAGGTTCTAGCACCTCACAACCTCTTGTTCTCTGAACACCAACCAGTTGTGGAGCTCTGTTCTCATCACTCCCTTCATTGTTTAGGCACATCCTGTGGAACTCT